GTGTAACTGTCTGCCTGTAACTGTGTGTGTGTGTGTGTGTGTGTGTAACTGTGTCTGCCTGTAACTGTGTGTGTGTGTGTGTATAACTGTCTACATCTAACTGTGTGTATGTGTGTAACTGTCTTAACAGGGCCCTTACCCACTGCTGTTACTGCTGCACATGGAGGTGCAGCAAGAAGAAATCCCTGTTCCTCCACAGGCTTCAGGGAAGGACTTCAATGAATCCACTCCTCCTCCAGCCCACACTGTCTGTAAGTAAGAGAGTGTGTATGTGTGTTTGTGTAACTGCCGGTAACTGTGTATGTGTGTAACTGTCTGCCTGTAACTGTGTGTGTGTGTGTGTGTATATATATACTGTCTGCCTCTAACTGTGTGTATGTGTGTAACTGTCTGCCTGTAACTGTGTGTGTGTGTGTGTGTAACTGTCTGCCTGTAACTGTGTGTGTGTGTGTAACTGTCTGCCTGTAACAGTGTGTTTGTGTGTTACTGTCTGCCTGTAACTGTGTGTGTGTGTGTGACTGCATGCCTGTGACTGTGTGTGAGACTGTCTGCCTGTGAGTGACTGTCTGCATGTAACTGTGTGCGTGACTGCCTGTAACTGACTGTGTGTGTAACTGTTTGCCTATAACCATGTGTGACTGTCTGTCTGTCTGTAACTGTGTGCGTGTGACTATCTGCCTGTGACTGTGTGATGCTGCCTGTAACTGTGTGTGGCAGTAACTATGTGTATGACTGTCTGCCTGTGACCGTGTGTGACTGTATATGTGACTGTCTGCCTGTAACAGTGTGCGTGACTGTGTGTTACTGCTTGTAACTGACTATGTGTGTGTTGAACCCTCTACCTGTAACTGTGTGTATGACTGCCTGTGACTGTCTGCGTGTGACTGTGTGCGTGTTACTGCTTGTAACTGTGTGTGACTGTCTGCCTGTAACTGTGTGTGAGGGGGTGCAGGGATTTTAAAAAGTTTACAAATTTGTGCAATAAATTTTAAAAAAATGTAAAAAAAAAACACAACACATTTTAAAAATTTTGTAGCTGTTTTTTTTTTGGAGGGGGGGTGCCAAACCCAGGACCCGCCCCGGGTGCCACATGCTCTAGGTCCGCCCCTGGATTGAATTCATCTCTATGAGGAGATGCTGATTGGCGTCGTGTGGCGTTTTGCCGTGTGTGGTAAAACATTGCTATGGCTAAGATGGTCAGTTCTGATGATCTCAGCCATGGAGGTGAGGCAGGGGCGGAGCCAGACACGGCAGATCTGTGCGGCCCAGAAAGAAAGGTAAGATTTAACCCTATTTATGGTGATAAGGTGGGAGGGGGCACCTAAATAATGCTTTTAATACTATAAGGTGGGAGGGGGCACCTAAATAATGCTTTTAATACTATAATGTCAGGAATACATGTTTGTATTCCTGATCCTATAGTGTTCCTTTAAAATGTACTTGAATTCACTGTGATTTCCTGTCAATTCTCACTTTAGTTAATAACACAGTATGTCTTTATTATTGTCAGCAATGCATGAATCTTAGTTTTTAGGATGTTTTACCCCATCTGCCCCTTCTGTTTTTATCTTGTTTGTACAGCTATCACATAAGGCTATCACATGCAGTTGTTAACTTCTGGATATTATTCTATAATTATGTAATGGTTGTAGAATGGGCCGTCACTGGTATTAAATATGGTCAATAAGAACTCAAGGAGCAATTTACATTGACACTTCTGAAGGCCATTCAGTTGTGACTTTTAAAGTCTCTATGACATAGAACATAACAAAGTATCTTGATTTTGCTCCCTGTCCAAATACTCTGATCTATTGACATTCGTTGCGGGTTTCAAATTGCTATTTGTATCTTACTGTCTGTGGATTGGCACTTCATGCCAATGTTATTAGTGGGTTAATTAGATATGTTTAATTTATTACTTTGAAAAAGTTGATTGGAATCTGGTTCTTGTTATTTTTGTTTATTTTATTTTTTGCCTGGTATTTGCTCTGCATTTTCGTTGCTGTCCTCATGTCATTTGGGATACCAGTGACATTTACTAAATGCCAGACGTTAAAGGAGCACTCAATCCTAATTTTCTCTTGATGACCTAAATCACTATACTGCATTGGCTCATGCCCACCGTCATGGTACATGTTACTGCATGTGCGGACAGATTCGTCCCTATTTCTGTTAGTGGGTTCAATCACAGAAAAAATTACATCAGTCAATGCTGGGTGGCCAGCGCAAGACTTAAATTTCAAAGTGAAAAAAAGCTGTTCAGAAATCATAATTAGGGGCAAGGAAACATTTTAAGTTGCTTCAAAAATGGCAAGAAATTTTTGTTGCGGTTGTTCTTTATTTTTTTAACAAGGTTTTTTTTTTTACGAAAGTGTGTATTGTCAGGAATTCAAAGAGAAATTAAAACTGTATTCAGAACGACTGAATTGGTAACATTCTCCAACTTGCCCACATGGCCATTTTAGTCTATTTCGGCCTAACATTTTAAATTCACTATGAATTTCTGACAAGCCATACTTTATTAGATATTACTGGTACTTTAAGTTCCCTGGAAATCTTTTTTAAATCTTGGCAACTATGATTACATAGCAGAGGTTTAGATGTTTAATCATCAGTCAGCAGTCTGAGCCATAAGGGTGGTAATGTGCCAAGGTGAAGAAAAAGGTTAAGCAACACATGTACGCCTCTTGCTGTCCCAGATTACTTCTCCTGTTCCTCCGGGAGACCATAGAAATTCAAGAAATTATCATGGAGGACACACCGTTAAAAATACCGTCAAAAGGTATAATCTCAATACCAATACCAAAAAGAATAAGGTGCTCACTCTTAATCCTCATCCCCACAGATTCTATAAAACACGGGAGCACACTCATTATAATCCAAATAATCGTTAATGAATTTGTACTACAATTTACAACAGGATGTCACCTTTGTGAGGCATTCACAAATGTTTTGTGAATGTATCACTTTTCTCTTTCATTCTTGGACAATCTTTTTTCTGTAGTTTTTTGCCATTTGTTTTAACTTGTGTTTATTGGTTGTCACGTCTATGTCCTTTTTTAACTGTTTTGCTGTGACTTGTGTAATTTTTGTGGGATACTATTTATTATAGGATACTCTATTTTTCGTGGAGATCTCTTGTATGTCAGATGTGGTAGTGTCTGCTTAGTACACTTTACTTCTCTCTTTACATCCCCCCCCCCTTTGTTAGATGTGAGGTGTGTACATGATATATTGCAACTTCCTATTTATTAGATGACTATTTTGTTTGCATACATTTTTGTTCCTCTGAGGTTGTTACGAGAAGTATACCTAAACACACAGGTAATGGGAAAGCCAACAGGAAAAACAGAGATAAAGTAGCCAGACTTAATGTAATAACCAATGAGAGAGACAAAATCAAAACCCTAGCCAAGGCCAATGATATATAGATAGATGGAGAACGTATAACAATCCGGGTCAGAATCACATAGGTACTCAAAATTCCTGTAAATTAGCCAAGGTCAATACCAGAATATACACAGAAGACTCAAGAAATGCCCTAATTGGGAACTAAGGCTGAAACCATGATAGGGCACTGAACCAAGGTCAACTCAAATTTAAATAAGGTTATCTAGGCTCTGATAGGTCCATGTCACCCTTGTGACCCCAAAAAGTGCGTAAATTAGGTCACCTGGGTGATGCGAATAATTCAGAACCGGAAGTGGCATTTCGCAAACATTCTGCACTTATGTAAGTGCCCTTAGAGTGGGCAGAGTCATAATTGCTATACAAAAGCAGTTTGCGCAACTAAACGGTGCATCGATGTGCGCAGCCTGCAGGGATCAATTAACCGGCGGTGTTGATCGGGTAAGTTTAGTTGCAGAGGTGAAAAGCATATGCTTTCCATACCTCATTCTTTGATTGGCGCATGCGTGAGTGAGTGTTAGTGAGCAGGAATGCATCTCATGCTGTTCAAGCCTCATTCTAGTTACCTGGATACTCCAGGTGTGTCCTTGAAATGCATATGTGTTCCATGCCTTGAATAATTTCCTGGGTTCCTCTTATCTAGACATCTGCTGGGTCACAATTGAGTTTCAGGTATTGTGGCTGCTGCTATGGGGGCACAAGAGTCTTTGGTATGAGTTTCATAACATATCAATTAAAATTTTTTCCTTTTGTTGGTAGCTGATGCCAATGTTTCCATTCATGATCATGTGACCACAGGTAGGAGTAACTCAATTTTTACCTGGGTGGCCACACACTTCCCAGCTGTAAACAATCTAAAGATATTGATATGCTTATACAGTGGGTGGGGGAAGGGGGGGAGTATTTGATCCCCTGCTGATTTTGAACATTTGCCCACTGACAAAGAAATGATCAGTCTATAATTTAAAAGGTTGGCGTATTTTAACAGTGAGAGGCAGAATAACAAAAACAAAAATCCAGAAAAACGCATGTCAAAAAAGTTATAAATTGATAAATGGGTATCACCATGTCCCCAAGTATCTCCCTCACATCCTGTGTATACCTTTCCCCTATGTATCTCCCTAACCCCCCAGTGTATTCCCAAGCCTCCAAGTATCTCTATTAGTAGGTTTCCTCCATTACCAGTAGAAGCTCTTGGTTCGCAACACTTTGACCTCAGGCTTGCTCTCAGTGCCTTAGTGACTCATGGCTCTGATCAAGGGTTTTTTGCACCAAACTGGAGTAATGACAGCTAGGTTTGGTAGATTTTCACTGACAGGTAGTGTACATGTGACATTAAAACGGGATCAGACGTGCTCTGTCTGAGCTCCGGCTCCGGGGCCCGACAATCTGAGCTAATCGGAGGTCAACCGCGTACACCAAACCACAACAGTGACTACACTAACCCCCAGCCACTAGGGAACACAGGGATACCGCCCAAGCCCTTAACCGGCACCGTCAGCAACCCAACAAGAACCTGGAGCTCGCTGGAGCTTGAGCCGGGACGAGACGGCCGCTCTCCCGGGTCTCCGGCTGGCGTCTCGCTCCCCCCCAACCGTTCTGGCATGAAATATCCACCGGGCAACGCTCCACAAGATGGCTGCCGCACGCCAGCCATGTGCGCGAAAAGCCAGCATGACCTAGCTGTTCGAGGAGGAGCTCATCCAGCACATCAGACCACCATGTGAGCCTACCCCGGGGCTGCGCGGGCAGACTACACTGGGCAAAGGTACAGGCCTGGGGCATTAGGCAGGGAGGAACGGGGTGCATACAGAGCGGGAACAAACCCTATACAGCAATTCCACAGGGGCCAACAGACCCCAGAGCTGCCTGCCCCGATGAGATGGGCCAGAGGGACCGAAACACCAAGCCACCCACCTTGCACCCAGTCAGAAATAACCTACCAGCCCGGACCTAAGCCACCACAACTACCACCACAGGCCAAAGACACGGCGCAGGAAGACGCCACCGCACCACCGGGGCATAAGATGCGCCCACCAAGCACTGGAGTGGGAAGGCACCCCAGACGGGGAACCCAGAGACTGCACCTCGTAATACCCATGGCTCCAGCTTCATTCTAGGACAACCCCGAAACTCACGACTGCCAAACACACATAATGAAATGCTCACATGAACTAATTTGTTAATGCTAAGCCTGTCCCCGGACTCCACGATAAGCGTTTGACCTGAATACCCAGCCGACTACGTCCGAAATTATTCATGGACGGTTAAGCTTACCATACTTACTGCATTTCATTACATTTTCTCATCTCGCCCTCAGTTAAAGCGTAAAAGAAACACGGTATAGCGTTCATAGAGAGTGTGAGGGGAGAATGTGCCAGCTCTCTAATTAACCTAGAACAGGTATTGTTATAGCCTATGATGAAGCCATCTTGTGACAAAGCATTACTTAATGTCTGTGATGCGGTAACATAATCTGGTTGTTTCACCCTATTTGTATAAGCGCCCTAGCTAAGCAACTAATTTTATAAAAGCGACTGTACACACGCTTTAGTTTTACACAGTGAAGTCAGAAATTGCCTAGATATTAAAGCGATGACACTCAACATAAATATACTAAACTACTGCATAGTCCAATGTTTCTCATGTAACAGTCTACCTAGATAGGCATTGCTGCCAGAATAGCCTATTTATAACATAACATTTAAAAATGTGCCGATACTCTCATGCCATGAATGTACAACTACTGTGTTTATATCTTTTAATTATGCTGTTGTGGTATTGAAAAACGTTTTGTCATTCCTTGCACAAAGAAAAATAAAGAATTTAAAATATATATATTTATATATATTATTTTCAGGGGCTTAATGTTTGATGTTGTGTCAATAACAATTGACTCTAGACTACTATTTCCAACTGAATTGATTTGTGGCTATACTATATAGAAAGATACCAACCTGTGAATGAAAGGATGTGTCAATAATCTTCTAATGCACGCCATATTCACATACTATTTCACTACATGCATGCATACACATACTGCAATATACACTGATCAGCCACAAGATTAAAACCACCGGTGACGTGATTAATATTGGTTATATTGTTACAATGGCACCTGTCAAGGGATGGGATATATTAGACAGCAAGTGAACAGTCAGTTCTTGAATTTTTTTTGTGTTGGAAGCAGAAAAAATGGGTAAGCAAAAATATCTGAGTGACTTTGACAAGGGCCAAACAGTGATGGCTAGAAGACTGGGTCAGAGCATCTCCAAAACGGAAAGTCTTGTGGTTGTGTTCCTAGTATGCAGTGGTTAGTGCCTACCAAAAGTGGCGTAAGGAAGGACAACCAGTGACATCCCGTCATGAGCACCCAAGGTTCATTGATACATATGAAGAGCGAAGACTATCCTGTCTCACACAAAAGAGCTACTGTAACTCAAATTTCTGAAAAATGTAATCCTCGCCATGATAGAAAGGTGTCAGAACACACAGTGCATTGAAGTTTTCTACATATGGGGCTGCACAGGCTCAGACGGGTCAGAGTATCTATTATAACCCCTGTCCACTTCTAAAAGCACCTTTAATGTGGTCATGAGTGTCAGACCTGGACCATTGAGCAGTGGAAAAAGATTGCCTGGTCTGATGAATCACATTTTCTTTTAGTTCAGGTAGGTGGTCAGGTGTGTGTGCATTATATACCTGTGGAAGAGAACAGGCTGGCGGAGGCAGTGTTATGCTCTGGGAAATGTTCTGCCAGGAAACCTTGGGTCCTAACATTCATGTGGATGTTACTTTAACATGTACCACCTACCTGGAGATTGTTACAGATAACGTACACCCCTTCATGGCAATGGTGTTTCCCGATGGCAGCTGCAAAAATTGTTCAGGAATGGTTTGATGAACATGACAAAGAGTTCAAGGTGTTGCCTTGGCCTCCAAATTCCACAGATCTCAGCCTGACTGATAATCTGTGGGATGTGCTGGAACAAACAGATCCATGGAGGCCCCACCTCGCAACTTGCTTAAAAGGACCTGCTGCTACCGTGGAGCCCATGCCTCAACGCTTCACAGCTATTTTGGTAAAACGAGGGGGATCTACACGATATTAGACAGGTGGTTTTAATGTTGTGGCTAACCAGTGTATATATAATGTAACTACTAGCACACGTCATGTGAATATTTCTTGTAAGCATCCTAGATATCGCATAGCAACCAGTGTTTCTATTCGTTAACAAGGACACTTAATACTTCACGTGAAAATAACTAGAAGGGCTTTTGCAATTACAGTGAAAAAAATAATTTCAAGTGAAATATAAGTGGGGAAAATTTTTTCCCATGCAAATAGGGCCTTTTATTACTACATTTGTGACAGTGCAACTATAATGCACCATATTTGGTGTTCATTAACATGCAGCACAACATGTTTGGGTTTTTTTTCCTACGAGTGCATGGTTAATACGGCATGGTGTGGGTTTACTATAGCTGGTGCAGCCATTTAGAAACGTAGGTTTATATCAAACTGATTTAAATCAAAGATTTTTATCACAACAGACAGAGGTTCATATTCTGCTTATCTCTTTCTTTTATTCCCTTGACAGCAAAAGTATATAAAAAGTTATATAAAACTAAGGGAAAAAAAATAACCAACCCACAAATGGTTAAGGGTACAACCTGAGTATGTCCTGTTACTCATGGTGCTGTGGTTACACCATGGAAAAGAACCCCTCACCAGGCAAAATCATTTAGAAAATAGAAGAAGCTAAGGCTCTACCAGAGACATCAGACTCCGAATTATTTTTTGATGGTGAAGTTTAATATTTTCCTATTGGTCTTCTCCTGACCGATCGGTTACTAATTAATCTACAGACTCCTGCACTATGCATGGGGTTGCCACAGTAACCTGGCAACCTCGTGTGACCTGTGATGTGTGGAACATGTCCTGCACTGGGGAACAGAAAATGCCATGCAGCCTCTGAGTTGGAGGGAGTGGCACTGGATCCTAAACATCAAGGTTGCTGTGCAATGCCCACTGGAGCCTGCAAGTGCTGCGCGGCCGCTGGAGGTATGACACCTGCATGGTAAACCGATGTTTGACCCAGAGGACCTACAGCGTAGCAGGTCCACGGACTGGTATCCTCATGATCATGTGGCTAAGTGAGCGTGAGAGTCTGTAAGCCTCTTGACAAGATGATGAGAAATAAACTTAGGGCTGAATGCCCACATCTTGTAATTCAGTATGCATCACCCCACAATATGCAAAGATAGCCAAGGTTTTGGGTAAGTCGAGGTGGAAAGTCAAGAAGGGTTTGGAGTTTTCTCATCGCTACTGCCAGGAAAAGGTCTTTAATAGCCTTGGTCCTAGTACCAAGATATTTGACATGGTAGAGATTGCCTTGGCAGAAGGGACCAAGTGGACCTGCATGTCATCAAAGGTTGGATGCAAAGATCCATTTGCATGATATGCAATGCAAAAAATGCTCTGGCAACAGAAAGATGTAAGTCAATCTTGCTAAAAATAGAGCCAAAATTGGTAAACTTTGCCACTACTGAGCCTGGGCTAAAGGCAAAGGGTCTCCTATTTGAAAACAGCTTCATTAAGGAGGTGGGCACATATGTTAGCACTTCCATAGCCTTGGACAGAGCACAGGCTAACATGGAAAACGTTTTCTCCCTCAAGATTTTTGGAGAGGTGGTCAGAACCTTGGACTGTCTGGCAGGTTGCTCCTCCAAGGTTTTTTTCAGGGAAACCATGATTCTGCTACTGCTAGGTCTGCCGTGCAAGACACTAGGCCAACGCCCTCTTTCTTCTCTGTACATGGCCTGCCTTAACATGCTTGTCTAGAGGAGTTTCACATGGCAGACCCCCATAAGGTGGCAGGCTATTTATATTTTACAGACCATGGGAATCACTGACTTCAGAGTTTTGGATTCTGCAAGCTGTACGAGTTTATTGGGTTGATTTTGTTACACACCAGGTCCAAACAGTTGTTCCGCATAAGATTGCCTTCTCAGACCGGGACAAGAAATTACTTTTGGACTAAATGCACGCTTTATGGAAATAGTGTGCTATTATACAGATCCTACCTCTGGCACCAAGTTTCCTCAGCATTCTCTTTTTAATCACAAAGAAGGAAGGTGATGTCCCACCAGTATTAAACCTCCGTCCGTTGAACCCTTTTGTGGCTTATCAGCATTCCAAAATGAAGGTATCCATTGCCTTCAGCATCTATTTCAATATGGGGATTAAATGGTCCAGCTTGACTTTAATGATGCATACCTGACAGCTCGGAACCTGCTCTTGGGCCTCTCTTATTCGGTGGTGATACCTCTCAATTGGGAAGCCAAGGAAAATCTCTCCTGGTGACTGCAGCACATGGAGGCATGGAACAGTCATGCCATCTTCGGTTCTGCTCTGGAACCTATTATCGAATTCGAAACAAGTATGCTCAGGTGGAGAGCGCACTGCGTTCCTCTAAATTGGAATTTGTTGAAGGGATAATCTGGGCACGATAACAACTAAATCGCAATGCACATGTTCCTATCACTTAGCAACACAATGGCAGTGACTTCTCAGCTCCTGATTGAGATTAATCTTGGTTATCTTCAGAATGCTTGTGCTAGCTGACAAGAGTATAACAAACAAGTACCTCAAATTTGAATGTAAATTGCTTTTAAGAAATATTACATTTTTCATCCATTTCAAGTCAGAAAAATGTATTTGTCTCAGTCACAGCTTCATTATTTTACCCAGATTTTGCAGTTGGCCTTTCATGACATCACAGTTCACTGTTTACATAAATAACCTGCCTGCCATAAGTCACTAAGGTCCTTAAACCCTCAACATTTACAAATATTTGGTGGAAAGTATTGACTTTAGATCTGCAAATCTGATATTCACATATGTAACAATGGTCCAACTTTTAGCAAATCTGGATCTGAATTTCAAAGTTCAGGATAAAATAGAAAAATTGCGACTGTATGGAGAATTTCTTCAAATCAGATATTTTAGCCTGAATTTTGTTGTCCCCATTTTAATTCACTACCATATGGAATTTAGTGAATAGCTTTGCATGTGGCACATCCAATTCTGTACAATATGATGTCTGGTAAAAAAATAATAAAAAAAATCAGAGAAATGGTCTGTATTTAAATATATATTTTATAAACTGAAAAATAACAGAATTCACTCCAATCTGTTATAGTAGGAGGCTCGTTCAAAAAGCACATTTGCCAACATTGGCAAGTGATACTAGAGAAATCCACAAGATTTGACCACTGGCTTCGCCAACAGCCGTCGTGTAAATTGTTATAAATGAATAAATTAATTGGTTTTCATGAAATTAAACAAATGTGGGATGCTGAATCCCATATTAATCAGGAAGGACCCAGAGATGTGGTTCTTTCTTATTCCTTACATCAAAAGTAGCGGCGTAAGGATTAATATTAAAGCATACTGTATTAAAACACTACCAAATGTTTCGATGTATTTGTGCTATTTGCCAAATACTGATTTGCATGAAAAGGCTCTTTTGGGAATTTATTTCCCGAGTGATTCTGTAGATACAGGTGACATTTTTACGGCATGTCGGGCTGATTCGGATGAATACCAAATTAAAACGCTTCCTCATTAATTCGGATTTGATTGATAAATTGTGAGTGATCTAACGAAACTATCTCCATAAATTACTTTCCTAATTGAACTGATCTCAACAGAATAATATTGCATCGTACAGCTGCTGTAAAAATATTATCCCCTTGATAGTTAAAAAAAAATAAAAAAATGAAATGCTAAATATCCAGGTTACTCAGGTTAAAACATAATACAGTATATTAAAAATACTGTAATGATAATATATAAAAAGATAAAATTAAAAAAACAAAAACTGCACAGCATAATAATGAAAATGTTTGTGTTTTTCTTTGCTGGATGGGAGCCTGCCCTCAGCTCTCTGACAAGGGCAGAGCCAGAACCCAAAACTGGAGGAGCAGCACAAACATTCCAAAATCCAGCTTGAGAATTGAAAACATTGGGGCGGAGCTAAGACGCTAAGCCACGCCCATTTGCTTGCGGATTCTGTGCAGTTGGCTGTCTGTCGAAGAGGCGCGGTTCTGCTGTCAATTATGGCTATGCAAATTGCAGGCGCCCAATCAGAGGACGTGCATGTTGGGAAGCTCCTCCCACATCCCCCCGAGACAAGCCTCTGAAGCTGGCTGAGCGAGGAGGTGGTTTCCATGGCAATGACGCTGTGTGTGGGCGGGTAGTACGCCGGCGCAGTGGGAGGTTTGGCAAGATGGCGGCGGGGCCAGTGAGGAGGCAGAGTCTGGAGATGCTGTGAGGCAGCCAGAGAGAGGGACAGCGGCCGCGGAGATACAAAGACCCGTGACAGCTCCCGTTACAGTTGTCGCATAGCCGGGCCCCTCACCACCCGACCTCGAGAACCCGGGGAGGTGGCCGGACAGTGCGGGACACATGAGCCGGAGCGGTCCCCGGGAAGCAGCGGCGGCGGCAGCAGAGGAAGCAGCCGGGGGCCCCTGAGGGCCGAGAGCAGGGCCCCTGAGGGCCCGAGCTCAGGATGAAGTTCGCGGAGCATCTGTCCGCGCACATCACGCCGGAGTGGAGGAAGCAATACATTCAGTATGAGGTGAGACGCCATACATCCCTCACAGAGCACACACACACACACCGCACCTGTGGACTGCCACTCTCAGAACGCTTAGCCAGGAGCGGTGGATTAACACTTCCCAATACTCTCAGCCAGCAGCCACTCTCAGAACGCTCAGCCAGGAGCGGTGGATTAACACTTCCCAATACTCTCAGCCAGCAGCCACTCTCAGAACGCTCAGCCAGCTGCAGAGGGCACCACTTAATGCTCAGCCAGGAGCTGTAGACTAACCTTTCCCAATACTCTCAGCCAGCTGCCACTCCCAGAAAATGATCAGCCAGCAGTATGTTTGTCTGGCTGAATGTAGTGGGAAATGTATTCCAGAACAGGTACAGAGCACAAGTAAGCCATCCCTGCCTGTAAACAAGCCTACCTTGAAGGTAGTTACTACTCTCTGGTAGGTAAATGGTTAATGAATGCAACATTTTCATGATGTCTTGTTCTTCTATATACTAGGTACCTACTAGTCCAGGGTTGACCGAAAGCTAGATACCTAAGTTGGCAAAGCCTGATGGGAGTTGTGGTATATGGTGACATCATTTAATGCTCAAATTTAGCACACTAGCCATAATAGGCTTTTTTTTCCCCCAGTGAAACTTAGCCATCCAAATGGCTGGCTAAGGGTCATGGGAAATGCACCTCACAGCAGCTGGAGTTATAAACCCATAATAGGCCTTTGTCACTTAATACCATTTTCATTTATTGTTAACTCCCTACTAATCCAACAATAATTTCTTATTTATAAAGCGCCAACATATACAGCAGCGTTGTGCAATAGGTCATCAGGTTTTGTTTACCACTGTCAATGATGAGCAATAAGAGAATATGTTGGGCAATATGTCCCCAGCAACAGTTTGCTCATCTGTTATAAGACTATATCTCCTTTTTCTAATAAAATAGCTGTGTACCCAAACTGCATGGCATTGATCCATGTATTCTCTGATTTATTTAAATATTTTGAACCTGAAAGTACATGATGTTTTTTTTGTGTGTTTCTCTTGCATCAGAAGCTCTGCTGATGTTTCGCCTCATTGTTCTGTCTCTAAGCTACCCGTGAAACAGACTATTTATCATCGCTGGGAGTTTTAGCAAGTTTATTTCTAACAAGATTTCATTTAGTGCAGTGAATATATATATATGAGGGGGAAAAAAATGCAAAACATATACACTTACCGTGTTTCTGAGTCTGTGTTATATAGTCTACAAAATAGCTAACAGTAGAGCTGTAATGTAATTACACAAGCTGAGAAGGACATGCTGAGATTAGGATCAATCCGATTATCAAAGCACCTAATCAGCCAATATAGAAAAAAGGTGGGGGATAGAAGCCATGAAAGCTTGACACTCGCAGGAACCTCCTGTTATGGACACTTGCTTTGTGTCTGTTTTGCTGAATCAGCGTTTTTTTAAAGTTATGTAATAATTAAGAACCTAGTTGAGTAGGTCATACAATGTCTAGTTCTTTATTGGCTATGGCGTAGTTTAGATATTTGAAGGGGTAGAAGGGCTTGTGTCTAGGTACTTTCTAAAGGCCTGGAATGTAAATTATAATCAGACAAGGTGCTTATAAATTACTTTATAACATATCAAGTAAAGTGTGGTCTTATGATTGAGCATATTCCAAAGGTTTATTCAGTAAACAGGAAATTGAAAAGAACAACAACCAAAAAAAACATTTGTGTAACGTAGTCCACAATAGCTAAAGTTGGGGGGAAAAAAATCTTGTATATTGGCAATTTGGCTGTTTTCTTTTCTTTTTTTTTTTTATTTAATTTTCTTTTACATATACCTCCATTTTGGAAATGTAGTTTTCTGTAAACCCCAAAATATTGGCTTTTTATTGACCAAAACCTGATTTGTAGTGAACTGAAAACTTAATTGTAAAATTAAGGCTAAGGTAAAACTGTAACTGAAGCTGAAATTGATCATTTATTTAAGTCTGTCCTTTATTTATTTATTTTTTCTAAAATTTTGAAATTCGTATTTAAACACATTACAATCCTGGTGTTTAGTGAAAGTGCCATTGAGTGGTCCTTCTGTATATATCTCAGACTAAGGTGCAATGCATGTTTCTATTAGAATACAGCTATTGCAGCACCTGTGTGTTGGGAGGGACATTACTTGCACCTCCATTCTAAATTCAGAGTTTGTTAGTTGTTTTTTTTTTTTGTTTTTTTTTCATATTTGTAGGTATATTTCTGACCTGTTAAACTGTGTTTTAGTAACTTGAAAAACATATGTTAAAAATTATTTGTGTCAGTGCCCCTGAGCATCCTTTTGTATGGTGTTGTCAATCAAGTATGGTAATAGAATAGTACTACCGCACCCTGAGCGGCATCGATATTGTCTTTGTTTCACACATAATAGTATGACACATAGTTGTTTTAAAATGGTTTGAATTTTACAATGTTGGTATGGCTAGTGTGCTAAATGGAGTGTGTGTGTGTGTGTATGTATATATATATATTTTGTGTGTGGTTAACAATTACATTTATTTGTAAAATAACTATTGCATAGCTACCTGTGCTCTAGGCATGTATGTTTGGTTGTAATTATATCGATAGCACATGCCCATCTGTCAAGTGTAGGCATATATGCAATGATTTTGTTTATTGTAGGTGCCATTTCAATTTTACTGCCCTTTGCTTCCCAGATAATATTGCATTGCAGAATATGGTGCTGCCCTATAAATAAATGATGAGGTTATTCTCAAACTTTGTCAGACCAGCAATAAATAAATTGTGATCTACAGGATTTACAAGTGTCTTCCTCAAAACACTTTGATTTCTGAGTGTTTACAGCAACTGCATGTACCCTTGTCATACCTTCTGTATTGTGCCGGTGCAAAACACAACTGCTCGAAATGTAGGACACGGACTAAGTAAACTGAACAGAAAGTACCACGAAATATCTCCCAGTTTAATTCACAAAACAGCTAGGAAATCTTGAAACTGTTGGTCAAAAAAGATTTGTGCTCACACATGTATTTAGGCTACATGATGGCTTCTACAAATTACATGTTTAAGGTATTAATTTCTGGTCCTATTTCACCCAGTGTTCTAGACCTTCCAAAAGGGCAATACATTTCATGGTCAAGTCAAACAGCAACATTAAATAATAATGCTGGACATAACAACTGGGAAAGTACTTCTGGATAATGTCCAACACATGATTGAATAATCAGATGTCACTGAGGGATACCAACATCTCTATTCTGAAAGCCAAGTGGATTAAAATATAAATCCCTTACATATATTAAGTGTTTTGGTGTAATTTGTGAAAATTTAAACTTTTAAAGCATTGTGAAATGGATTGAATGTTACTTTCTCTAAAAGAATAACTGTCATTGGAAATGTAGCAGAGAAACATCTGCTTTGACAAGGTTATATGTCACTGTATCACAGGGAGTCTAGGAATTAAAGCATAGTATTCTATTTGCGTGGTAACAAGCAACAAATGCATTTGATGACCGAATTTCATTCAAATGTTACACCATACCTTCGTTAGTGATTTGCTTGAAAGTAAGTGGCACATAGTGTTTTAAAATAGCTATTTAGAGAAATTGTGTAGAGAAGGTTAATTTAAAAAATAAAAATTAAATTCGGTTTAAAAAAAACAAAAAACAAATAACTCTTGTAATTTGGCTTAAAAATAACCTTTCTATTCAGCCAATCTGATCAAATATGCACTATTGTGTCTTTCATTATGCGTTTCCACCAGCGCAAGAAAGACCGAAAAAAATATGCATGAGTTACACCCTGCAGGGCCTGAAATACCCAAATCACATGAATTTTTTTTTTCATTTTTTTTTTCAAGCTATTCTTGTAAAATAATCAAGGAACTAAGTTAACTCTTTTGTACTGAAGAATATTTCACCATTATCCCCATGTCGCAGTGTGGCTGGTAGCACTGGCAGTGAATGGGTTAATACTGTCCAGTAAGTACAGTGCTGATGTGTGCACACAAAGATGTTAAGCTTTGACTAATTATTAGTTAGTTGGCCAGTCATAATCATGTTCCGTGAGTCATACTTCTCCAGGATGGCAGGCAGCCTTATATTTGTGCCTGAGCTTGCATTGTGCAATAGTATTTTATAGAGAGCTGGAACACAGGAACCAGATCCCAGTCTTACCTTTTAAAAAGAGCTCGATATCACCCTGCTTGAAACTTTACATTTGGCTCGATATGTGTGTTTTGCAGTGCCAGACATGCCTATGCAGAGCAAGTGAAATAGGGTTGGTTTTGTAGGTCTTGAATATGAATGCTTGGGTAATGTGGCATGATAATGCACACTATCCCATATATTTATTCATACAATCGGTAGAGTGAAGAGGTGTTTTTTTTTTTTCTATTCCCAGGGGCGTGCTCCCTGCGCAAAATGAAATAACCTAGCCTATTAATTCTACAATCCCTCATAAACAAGAGCTGTATTCTCTTATTGCTCGGGCTGGTTTTCCATCATAGCAGTCATGTTTAGTTAATGAGATACATGTCAAAGGCAGAGTGCGGCATGGAGCTTACCATGCATTCATCTTTGTGTTTTTTAATTTTCTTTAATTTTTTTTTATTTTTTTATAATTCTTTATTTTTGAGTTTTCAACAAGGAAGCCGGTACAGCATTATTGAGTTATAGAAAAACAATTCAACATTTAATCGGTGTATATGCACCGTAGTAAGGGGGTGTATCAGGATGTTACAGCGGGTCAGGTAAACAAACAGGTGGGGTACAGTACAATCATACAGTTTGGAATGTATATAGGTTCAGTTGTGTGGTCTTTTCATGCTGAGTTGCAGCCTAGATGTTATTGCCTGTTTTGGTTTGGGTTGTGAGCTTCCTCATTCCCTGGTAGAATGGGGTGGTTTGCTTCGGTTTCTACCTTGTAGCTTCTAGATGAGCTTGTCTGTTGTCAGTAGATTGTGTGTTTGTGTTGTCCCCTTGTGGGCGGCTTTGTATTTTCGTCCATTCGCCTGGTATTCAGGATTTCTGCTTATGGTTCTGAGTCGAATTTGGGGCATCTTTGTGTCTTAATGCTGAAATATCTTAATATTGGAGCAATTTTTATAATCAAATAGTACATGGGGTTAGAGATGATCATCAGGTTCCTCCCCTTCGCCAGTGTTCTAATCTATTTTTTTTTTTTTTTTTTAAAGAGCCAGTCATAGTGCCAGTGCATGTGTACACCCAGGGCACCACCTCAGCTGCGTGCTGTCTTATTGTTTGCTTA